GCTGCCAAACCAGACGCGGCCGGGCTCTTTTTGTTTTCTTGCGCCCGGCTGCAGGCTGATCCCCCCCCGTTTTAATTTTCCGAGAAACACCCCCCCCCCAGGTTTGACGTTTCCTTTGCACCCGCAGCCCGGGTTACGAGACTTCCTGGAAGGGGACCCGAGCAGGAAGAGACAAAATTGACACGTGGACTCTTTTTTTCTCTCTCTCTCTCTCTCTCCCTGCCAAGGACGGACGGACGGACGGCGGTGATGCTTGACCGAATTTTGTCCCCGGTGCAAACCTGGAATTAGTCGTGGGGAGGACTGTCTTCAGGGCGGATTTCTCCCCCCTCTCCTTTCCCCAAATCAACGGCTTCCCCCCCCCCCCGGTTGCTGCTTTTTATCCTCTTTCCTCTTCCAAATCCGACTTTTAAGCCCGGTGTCTTCTCTGGGAAGAGGAGTAGCTGGAGAAAATTGCTGCAGTGGTGGCGGTGAGAAAGTTAGAAAACTTTTTTTTCTCTTCTTCTTCTCTTCCTGGCTGTCTCTTGCGGATGCTTCGGAAGAGTCTGTCCTCTCAATTTTCTCCTCCCCGGTAGAGGGGAGCTTCTAACTCTCTCTCTCTCTTCTTTTTATGTTTATTTTTATTATTATTATTTTTTTGCCTGGTGGTTTTCTCCGTTGGTGGATTAAGCCGTTGAATGGCCCTGAGCGTCGGCAACGATGGAGCGCAGGATTCGGGGGCCAACCTGTTCGCATCCCAACATCACAAGCAGCATCCAGCACCACCCGTAAGATGCCCCCAACAGGAAGACACGAAGAAAGATGGAGGAATCGGGGATGTCTTTTGGTCCAGGTGAGAATGGGTGGTCCTCTTAGCTTTGGGGACCTTTTCCAAGCCCCCCCCCCCCCACAAGCTGGTGGCTGTCTGCCTGTCCATTCCCACAGTGGAGAACCTTGGCTGGGTCTGAAACGACATGAATGGTTGTAAGCCGAGGACCCCCTGGTTGAGAGTATTCAATAATAATAATAATAATAATAATAATAATAATAATAATAATAATAAAGTTGGAAGGGACCTTGGAGGTCATCAAGTCCAACCCCCTGCTCAGGCAGGTAACCCTATACCATTTCGGACAAATGGCTGTCCAGTTTCTTCTTAAAAACTTCCAGTGTTGGAGCATTCACTGCTTCTGGAGGCAGGTTGTTCCACTGGTTAATTGTGATTGTTCAAAGTTACAACGGCACTGAAAAATGTGACCTATAACTGTTTTTCACCGTTACGACCTTTGCAGCATCCCTGGGATCATGTGGTCAAAATTCAGATGCTTGGCAACTGGTTCATGTTTATGACTGTTGCTGTGTGTCCCACGGTCACGTGATCTGCTTTTGCGACCTTTCGACAAGCAAAGTCAACGGGGAAGCCAATTTCACTTAACCAACTGGGTTACTAACTGATCAAACGGCAGTGATTCACTTAGCAACTGTGGCAAGAAAGGTCAATAAAATGGAGCAAAACTCAATAAATGTCTCACTTAACAACAGAAACGTTGGGCTCAACAGTAGTATTGTGGTGGACATCCCAGGGACACCTGTGAGAATCCAAATAATATTCAGGAAAAGACAATAGCAAATAATTTACAGACCGTTAGTCCTTGACTTACAACCTTCCTTTAATAACCATTCAAAATGACAATGGCACTGAAAAAAGTGATTTATGACCAGTTCTCATGCTGACGACATGCTCATTGCAGCATTCCCCACAGTCACATAACCCAAAGGTGCTTTTTTTTTTCCAAAAGGCCAAGTGGACTTTGTTTTTCCTTGAAGAGGTTTTGCGTCTTATGATGATGATGATGATGATGATGATGATGATGATGAT